TTTGAATTTGATTCCCTGTATTGGTAAGTGGGGCTTTATTGTGTAGTTTTTCCTAAGTGATTAGATTGACCACAGAATAGAAGTAGTCTGAGCAGAACTATTTATAAATGCTGTTTCTTAGAAATATTTTTGGATAAGCATGCCCATCAATGAGTACAGATGGACATACATTTATCAATCATTTGTTTTAACATGATTTTCCACCTGCCTTATTTTCCAAACAAGATAAGTAGTTTATACTTCAAATAGATGTGTATGTATTTTCTTAAAGGAAGTCCCTGCTGAAAATTCTATTTAGGTGGTCGCTTTCTCTGCTGTAGGATTTAAATATTTTATTACCAAATACAACTTGAAGTCCAGAATGATTGAATGGACTTATTTGATATGTGAATTGCTGGTTATATTCTACACTTCTAAAATCTGTCTTCTTTCTTTTTTCCTGTTTTCAATATTTTACTTTTTCCTCCTCATTTTCTTATGCATTAAAAAGAATTTCCTTTTCATTGTAGGCATAATGCTATAATATCTCAAGTTTGTCTCTCAGTAAATTCTGAATCACTTGACATACATGATTTTATTTGTATATATTATACATATTTTATATTTTTATATATTTATACATATATATATCGTAAAAGTAAGCATCGACTAGAGCTGATAAAGGCAATCTCAATGAAGCAAGACTGCTCTGCTGTGGTCTCCAGAGACTATAATTTGAAAGGCAGTTGACTTTATTTGCTGTGGTTGACAACTTCTCCTCAGACTGCTTGAATAAATTTGGGTATTAATATGCTTCCTGTCTATTTAGAGAGAATTACCATCCTTTCTGCCTCAGAAGACTGCTTTATTTCCAGATTTAACTCAGCACAATATGATGGACCCTACCTTGTGAGAAAGATTAGCATGCCTTGATTGAGTGAATATATGTTTAGCATCTTCTGTGAGCTACAAAACACTTAGTCCCGTGATACGGGAAGGAAGGAGGGAGACATGCAATGGAATTGGGTGGGACTGTGCCATTTTTGCAAGGTTCTTTAAAGAGCACATGTACTGTGGAGAGGCAAACTTAAATTGAGCACGTACAGCCATTTTCCTCTTCATCTCCACAGTAGTTGTTTGAGATAGATGGCATGACCCACATTTAAGAGATGAAGACTGAAGACTAGGTAAATTAAATCACTCCCTTGAAATGATTCTGCCAATTGTGCCAATATACCAGTGCCTAACAAACAGGAGGCATCTTGTGAATAGTTTTGATGTTGAATAAATCTTTCAGGGAGCAATTTTCAACACGTACTAAAAGCCTGGAAGCATTTCATGCTCTTTGAATCATAATTTAATTCCTAGCAATTAATGCTCTTTGAATCATAATTTAATTTCTAGCAAGTATTTGAGATATAGGTAAAGTTTGTGCGTATGTATCAGGCCAGGAGGAGGGTAAAGATGGCACAGTGTGTAGAGCCGTAGAGGAAGCAATTGTCAGTTGTATGGGGTAAAGGAAGAGAATACAGACTTGACTTTCAGCTAGGTTAAGGAGCTGAACAGATTTGGGGATGGTTTACTGAAACCAAGACCTCAAAAGTAAGCAACCATGAAAGAAGGAATAATGGTTCAAGTTTGGACATGCTGAATTTGAGATGACTTTGGGTCATTTAGTTGATGCATTTAGGAATGCACGTGGATCTAAGCCCAGCAACACAGTCTTTTGAAAGATGAAAGACTTAGCCAATGAAGCCATGATGTGGATAATGGTGACTTAGGAAGAGTCTGAAGAAGGTAACGCATAGAACCCTGGAATTCATAGTTTAAGTAAGAGATCCCAGAGAGAAGAAAGTCAGTGAACAGAAGACCTGAGCTAAAAGAGAAGAAAGATTAAGGATTTAGGAAATGGTCGCAGAGTGAAATGGTATATACAAGGGGCTTGTGAGGCAGCTGTAATTCATGGCCTCTCCAGAAGTTTTGTCCTTGCTTGTGCTCCATCAAGCACTAAGGACATAGATAGCATCTGCAGGGCTGAGAGGAAGGAATGAATAGTTGACTTGAATCCTGACAAAGGTGACAGGATTTCACTGGGCTTAAAATGTGGATCGGATTGAAAGTGAGGAAGAAAATCTCAACTGACTAAGATTTGTTCAAAATCTTCTGCCTAAAAATAACTTAAGGAAGATTTCTTATTTATAGTCGGCAGCTTCGTAACCTTTATATAGTGGAGACAGCATTTGTTTCCACTGTTTCCTTTGGTTCTCTTTTTTTTTTTTTTTTTTTTTTTTGTCGGTCGTGGGGCCTGAACTCTGGGCCTGGGTGCTGTCCCTCAGCTCTTCAGCTCAAGGCTAGCGCTCTACCACTTGAGCCACAGCACCACTTCCGGCTTTTTTCTTTTTGCTTATGTGGTGCTGAGGAATCGAACCCAGGGCCTTGAGCATGCAAGGCAAGCACTCTACCACTGAGCCACCTTCCCAGCCCTGGTTCTCTTTTTTTATATTCACTACTAGTTAAACAGTATCCTACAGATGTGGATATGCTGTCACCTAACACCACGTGTAACATCAATTTCAAGGAAATCATGAGAAAAAAGTATTATGGCTTATACAAAGCAAGTTTATGCCAGAAACACACGTGTGAGTAACTAGGAGATCTTTTTATGAGCAGTTTTGCTGCCCAGTCTTGGAAAATGGGATGTCAAGATTGTGCTGTGATGGTTTTGAGAAGTAATTTTGCTTTCTTTGGTATCATCATTCCTGAATTAGCCAGTGCCAAGTTTCTTCTAACTGGTTCTGTAATGAGTTTCTCAATGCATGTATTGCTGAGAATCTATATCTTACACTACCCACATCACATGCTAGGGACCAGCCATCTGAGCCAAAGTTAGGAAATAAACTGAACTCAAGGCTGATTCATAGCTCTTAGAAGACATACATTGGTGATGCCTTTTCCAGTAGGAAAAGACAAGTCTTGGTTATATACCCTTTTAATTTTATGGCCGCTAATTATAAAATCCCTTCAGTTTGATGAATTTATAACTATAAAGTTGCACACTCCCAACACCATGTTTTCCTCTAAAATCCTAAATTGTAAGTCTATGAAAAAAATGAGAAAGAGATTTCTTTGTGCCTTCTTCTCACTCTCTGCACCTTCCATCCCTTATCCATTCACCTTTTCCAGCCATTAGCCCCTTCCTTCTTCACCTCAATTAACTGGTACTATGGCATGGGTAGTAACTTCATCCAACGGGAGTACTTTGAGGACAGAAACGATCAGGCATTACCCTGGGAAATAAGCGGTCAAAACCTATCTGTTTACTAGTATGGCCAAGATTCTGTCATAGTAGTTATAAAGAAGATAGAGAATAAGAAAAGTCAATGGAAAAACTAGTGTTCAGTGGTAGCCACGTCATTTTCCTGGTTACATGATCTTGTGTATACCTCTTCACCTGCCAATCTCAGTTTTCTAAGTAGACTTCTTGTTCAATTGAATGAGATAATATTTTTGAAAGTGGCAAAAATCTTATACAAATGCTAGACAGTGATGACAGGCTATCTTCTATAAGTATGATGTGAAAGCAAAGAAGATACCAAGATTTCCCTTGAATTTGTTCTTAAGTCCCAGATCTTCCCTTTCAATCATGCTCTACTAAATTTCTCCCAAGCTCCAGATTCTCTACTTCTCACCCATTTGTACTTTGTTCTCTTTCACTCTTCATGTGATGCTAGCCGCAATTGGTAACATAACGTTAAGCCCATCTCCTTTTCTTACTGTGTGGTTGAAGCCTTGAAATCCACTCCTAACAAAAGAAAAGTGGAAAACAGTTTCCTAAGTGCTTCTTCTACTTTGATTGCCTGAGATCTTTTTCCACAGACCACAGACTCTTCCCCAGAGGAGAATATGGGAAGCCTTTGCAGCTGATCCCAGAATAAATTTCATTTCTATTAAGAGCTGTTTGTGGCGAGATGTATCTATCCTGGGAACAAAAAATTAAATGATCATAAAGTCTTTCAAAGACAAAAAGCTATTACTTTAAATGTGATTGAGTATCTTCCACACAATATTAGCAATAGATATATACTTTCTTTGGTTGTCATTGTGCAAGTTGCCAGTTCTCAGTAGATTAGGCACCACTGCTCAGTCTTGGAAAATGAAATATCAAGACTGTAATGCAATAGTTTTGAGATGTGATATTTTTTAACTTCCTTTGGTATCATCATTCCTGAGTTAGGCAGTATCAAATTTCTTCTAGCTGATTCCATAATGATTTGATGCCATAAAATGCTTAAAATCCATATTTCATAAAATAGAGTCCAACCCTCTGAGCCAAGGTTAAGAAGTAAATTGAGCTTTGAGGCTAAGTCATAATTCTTGGAAGCCATACATTGGTGGTGGATGATGCTTACTTTCTGGATGAAAGAAATACAGAGAATTATATCTAGGAAATCCTTGTGGCCCCATTTTTCCTTTGATTGTTCACATAAACTTCAGGTCAGAAGGAAATAGATGCACATAAGATCCAGATACATCTTATTGAACTTCCCTAATGTGTGAACATCTCAGAATTCCAGTTTACCTTGGCAAGCCAAGTCTTAACTCAAGTATACCCCATCTTTTCCAGCCTCACCAGTGAAAATGCTAGCAGAATGGATGAGTATAAAAAGAAGCACCCAGCATTTTTCCAAATCCTAAAGTCTAGCTGTGATTGTTCATCCTACATGTCAGTCAGACAGAATCAAAAGAAATGTAAGCTATGCTCAGGGGCTCCAAGCCAGCCCAGGAAAAAAAAAAAATCTATGAGACACTTACAGTTTAAAAAAAAAGCTGGAAGTGAGGGGGTGGCTCAGGTGGTACAGCACCATCCTTGAGCAGAAAAGCCAAGTAAGAATTCAAGCCCACATATTGACAATAAATAAACAAACAAACAAACTCTGCTCCACGATCCCAGAGGCTTTTCCATGACATGGTTACTTGATTAGCTGAACCAGTTCCTGATGTCCTTGTTCTTCTCTTTCCAGGAAACAGCATTCTTCATTCTGCTGCTGATAGTGTGACCAGCGCAGTACAGAAGGCCAGTCAGGCCTTGAATGAGCGTGGGGAAAGGTTAGGCCGAGCTGAAGAGAAGACAGAAGACTTGAAGAACAGTGCCCAGCAGTTTGCGGAAACTGCCCACAAGGTGGGCCAACAGAGGGCAGGAGTCTCAGCTCTACTTGGCAGGGAGTGGGAGAGAGGGTGGGGCTTGCCAACATACCTTATTTCAGTGTATTTCCTGGAGTGGGAAAAACAAAACCATCTTCTTATTCCCTTTCTTCTTCTGGCAATCTCCATCAGCTACTTAGCAGAGTCATAAACTGTCTTCTTGTACTTGGATTCTGAGGTTATTTTCTTTCCCATGTCCCATGCCTGACCTTCTGATCTTGATTTTATTTTAAGAAATATGGACTAGGCTGAGCACCTATAATCTTAGCTACTCGGGAAGCTGCTATTTGAGGATCACAGATCAAAGCCAAGCTGGGCAGGAAAGTCCATGTGATATGTCCTAGCAGCTCAAGTGGTAGAGCACCAGCTTTGAGCCAAAAAATAAAGGAACAGTGCCTGTGTCCTGAGTTCAAGCCACAGTTCTTATATGCTTGTACACCCACAGATAGATAGATGATAGATAGATGGATAGATAGATTGTTAGATAGATAGAAAGAAAGAAAGATAGATAGATAGATAGATAGATAGATAGATAGATAGATAGATAGATAGATAGATAGATAGATAGGTAGGTAGGTAAGTAGGTAGGTAGGTAGGTAGATAGATAGATAGATAGATAGATAGATAGATAGATAGATAGATAGATAGATAGATAGATAGATAGATAGATAGATAGATAGATAGATAGATAGATAGAAAGAAAGAAAGATACCATCTTTCGTTTCCATAGGGAAGTTTAAGGCTCAAGTATCAGGGTTAAGAGAAGAATGAGATCACGTCTCAGAGTATGTCCCTGCTCTTGGCCAAGACTTTAAAGAATCCATGGTAGCATCCATCATCCATTGCTGCTTGCTTCTTACAAAATAATTCATTATAAAGGAACTGCAAGTTAAACCTATCAGGTGCCACTTTGGGGCCCACTAGAATGACAAATACAAATGGCTAACTATACTGTTGTCCATGATGTGGAAACACTAGAATTCTCTTACATTGTATTTGGAATTGTCACTTTCAAAAATGGTTTTGCCAAGTACTGGTGGCTCATGCCTATAATCCTAGCTAAAAAGGAGGCTGAGATTTAAGAATTGTGGTTTGAAGCCAGCCTGGGCATGAAAGTCTGTGAAACTCTTATCTCCAATAAATTACTCAGAAAAAGCTGGATGTGGCATTGTGGCTCAGGTGGTAGAGAGCTAGCCTTGAACAAAAGCAGCTCAGGGATAATGCCCAGGCCCAAGGTTCAAGCCCAGGACTGGCAAAAAAAAAAAAAATTGCAGTATATATTGAAGAATATTATTTGTGGGTCCATACACTAACATAACTGATTTCACCTATATAGCAAAAGTCTGGTATAAGAAAATTCATAGTAGTTTTACTCATAATAATCCTAACTTGGAAACAACCTAAATGTCTCATCAACCAGAGAATGGATAAATTGTGGTATATTCAGATATGATACAAGACAACAAGGTTAGGGCTGGGAAGTTGGCTCAGTGGTAGAGCGCTTGCCTTGCAAGCCTGAGGCCCTGGGTTTGATTCCTCAGCACCATATAAGCAAAAAGAAAAAAGCCGGAAGTGGCACTGTGGCTCAAGTGGTAGAGCACCAGCCTTGAGCTGAAGAGCTGAGGGACAGCGCCCAGGCCCAGAGTTCAGGTCGTGACCCAAAAAAAAAAAAAAGACAACAAGGCTAAATTAGATATATTACTGAACAAAGGAGGCCAGACATAGAAAACATAGTATGATTCTGTAGTTCAAAACCAGACAAAAGTAATCTATTTTGACTAGGCTCAAAATAATAGTTAACATTGATGTGTATTGACTGGTAAAAGTCAGGAGGTGTCATACAGGGAGGATGAAAATTTCTATGTCCTTACATAATAATGGTCGCATAGGTTTATTAAAATACTTCAAGCTATGGGGAGGTATGGGGGGGGGGGCGATGACCTTGAAGCTTCTAGAATGTGGTTTCCATCCTATTTCTTCTTAGTCATGTATCCAATGTCCTATCTTCTGTGCCTTTATCACATCATATACAAAGCAAGCTCTGAACTCAGAAGTTTACCTCTGAGCATGGCTGAGTGTGGCCAGACTGTACGGTTCTGCCTCTGAATTCTAACAATGGGCTTTCCCCATGACTGGGCTGTGCATGGAGCCTTTCCATTCATAATCTCGCTGATAACCTCCTTTCAGAAAGGCAAGATAGTGGAAAATTATTGGAAGCCATTATGTAAAGCAACCATAAACTGAAAAGAAGAAGGACCCCACTGATCAAGTGATAGAATTTACAGCTGTTATTGTATTTTGAGTCAGTAAGCTATTCTTTCTGGCCAGTGATTAGAACTTAGGTTTCCAGAAACAACTTCAGTTGATGACTTGTATTATCCTATCATCATCATAAGTTCCTTGGGAGGAGGGGGATTGCTTCAACAGAATGTCCCACCTTTATGGGGCAAACAAGAACCAATCCAATTATCAATTAGCTAGGTTGGTCGTTCACTCCTGTAGTCCTAGCTACTTGGATGGATCAGAGTACCTGGCAATCCCAGGCAAAAAAAAAAAGTTTCTAAGTCCCCATCTCAACAGAAAAACCTGGGCAGGGGGGTGTGTACCTGTCATCCCACTCATAGCAGAAAGTATAAGTATGATGGCAGTCCAGGCTGACCTTGGCAAAAAGTGAGCCCCTATCTCAAAAATACCCAGATCAGAAAGAGCTCCTGTGATAAAATACCTGCCTAGCAAGTGTGAAATCCCAAATTCAATCCCAGCTGGGAGTGCTGGTGTAATCCTAGCTACTTATGAGGCTGAGACCTGAAGATCATGGTGCAAAGCCAGCTCAGTCAGGAAAGTCTGTGAGAATCTTATCTTTAATTAACCATCAAAAAGTGGTACTGTGGCTCAAGTGGTAAGGTGCCACTCGAGTGAAAAAGATAAGAGCAACAAAATCCTAATTCAAGCCTCAGTACCAGCACAAAATAAAAAGGAAGGAAAGGAAGAAGGAGACAGAGATTGAGGTGGGGGGGGGGGGGGAGAAAGAGAGAGATAAAGAGGAAGGGAAGAAGGAAGGAAGGAAGGAAGGAAGGAAGGAAGGAAGGAAGGAAGGAAGGAAGGAAGGAAGGAAGGAAGGAAGGAAGGAAGGAAGGAAGGGAAAATCTCACTCAGGCCCTAATGGTGACTTCAATTCCAGTGGATGCTTCCTTTCTTGGCTCAGACCTGTCTGGGGTGTGTCATTTCTTCTCTACCATGATGACCCCACTGCCCTGCTGCCCTATGGGGGCCTATGTGGAGTTCCCCAGAGGAGAATATGCTACCCTAGAGGAGAATATGTCAGATCTGTCTGAAAATGTAGGCAGTCTGCTGGAGGCTGGGAGTTAGATTGCTGTCGCAGAGAGAGTAGACTCATATTCACCATTTCCCTAGTCCCTCCCTCATTTCTGCAGCCTTTGTATTCCAAGGAAATGATGAGATGGAAATGCTAGAAATCCAGCCCAAGCTTCGTTTCTAACAACAACAATGACAACTTATATGATTGAAATGTTAGGGGAGGGGGAAGGAGAACTTGGAAGAGCTTGTAAAAAGTTGAATTGTGCAAGAGAGGGATAACAGAAATCATTTTATAACTGCTCTCACATCTGGGAATGGTCATAGTAATAAACTTATCTTTCATACCCTTCCATACAAAGCAGATCAATCAACAGTGTGCTGATAAAATTCTGCTAAAATAGGGGTTTGGGTTAATGGCTAAACCATGAACCAGGTTACTGAGGAAGCTGTGAAATCATTCTTCCTAAGGTAGGACAGACAATACCTGGATGTCATGGCATCAACAGTTCTCTCTGGGGGATTCACAAGCACTGACAAGGCCTGGATTCTTGGCTCAACTTGTTGTTCCCCTGATACTGTGGCCAAGTTTTGCTAGATGGCTGGGAAACAATGTGGTATAGTTAACACCTTGTTTTTGAATCTAGCTCTATCATTTACCGTGTTGGTGATAGTGGGCTAGTGCTGAATTTCTCTATTCCCAGTTTCTCATGAGTGACATAGAACTAATTAATAATAGGACCCATCTTCTAGAATGTGGAGAAAAGTGATTCGTTTCTGCTGACCCTGTTCCCCTGCTGCCACTTACTGAGCGCTGTAATTGTTACTGGTGACTAAGGATTCTCAGTACAGTAACAAGAAGGAAGACAGGGAAGGAATAGAGGTGAAGATTGGGTGCTTTCCAGGCTCAAAGGCAAGGAGGCAGGAGGGCCTTGTAGTAAAGCTGATACCAGCCTGCAAACATTTATATTACATGAGTAAGTCAGGCTCAGAGAGACAAAAAAAATGTTGAATGTTTCCTCCCATATGTGGAAATTAGATCTAAATTATAAATATGTTTGTAACTGTATACAAGGCCATTTGTACACACACACATTTTTAAATGTATTCACTAAATTCGGTATATGCAGGGGAGAGCCTAGTGGTGTGATCCCTCTAACAAATAGCAGGAAGCTGGAATATATGGGGTCTTTTTCTTTTTGGGAAGGAGGAGGGATTGAGGTCAAAGGAAGAGGGAGCAGAAGAATAGAGAGAAGACAGATGGGGAAATGCAGTCATAATATTTAATGTGCATATGAGCAAATGGAACCAAGTAAATTGGAAAAAATGAGTCGGTTTGGGAGAGAATAATGAAAGGGGGAACATAGCTCAAGATGCCTTGTACTCACAAATTGACATGTTGGATTGAAACCCCTTTGAACAACTACTTTAAAATAATTTTAAGTTGATAAGCCTAAACAGAGAACCTCCCTTGAAATAGGATCTGTCAGAGCAGAAATTGGTGGGCCACCCTCATCCAGGGACCACTGCATTTATTGAGAAGGAGGGTCCGGGCCAGGCATCTAGCCACTCTTCGTGGAGAAGGCTGAATCAAGAGAGGGATTAGACAGCCTTTGACTTGATTTCCACTCTGGTAGAATCTGTTGCTGTGTGAGGGAGTGTGAGCCCGTGTCAGAGTCAGACTTCAGTTTTCTAAAACTGGAATGTATGTCCTGACATGACCCACATTGGTAGCCCTTCTAAGGAGCATTTTGACCTAGTTAGGTAAGGTGTGGCCATTTTCCTAGGAGCTAAAACCCCTGGTTTGGGCACTGTGACACAGGCTCACTAGCACAAAAGATGTCATTCACTGGCTAGGTCCCAGCCAGGCCTACTGAGGAGGGGAGATAGAATGCAGACCTCCCACCCCCCAGATGTATGGCTTTATTGACTCATAAAGAGTGGGCTGGGTTTATGAGTCGAAGGCACAGCACACATGGCAGCCCTGAGCAAAGAACAGAAGTTCCAGGTGACAGTCTCTGCAAACTCCAGCTTGAATAAGGACACCCAACTGCAGATAGAAAGTTTGGCACCCCTTCTGAGGTAGCCATAGGAAAGCATCTTTGGCCTTGTAACCTTTCCCAGGACCCCTCCTAACCCAGGTAGGAGAGTGAGTTGGATCACTTTTGCACAACTCCTCAGGATACGTGGGCACTTGTGCCCTGCTGAACAGATGGAAAATGATACTTCTCCCTCCTCACCACCACCCCACCCCTCCCGGCAGCTCCAATTAGCCTGGCTTGTACAAGTGGAGAGCTGGAGGCTTGGCCCAGGCCCAGCCATTAGGAAAGCACAACTCTACCATAGAAGCAGCCCTGTGTTCTTTCCCCTACCCCAAAAAGCACAATGTTGCCATGTGTGCCTTGCTTTGACAACCCACATGGGCAATGAGTCAGCAGGCCAACACATTACCCACACCTAGACATCCTCAGCTGACATTTGCACTGAAAAGAACACGGAGCTGCCCTGTTTGTGGGGGAAGGAAAGGTGAGTAGCATTGCTCTCACTGGGAGAGAGTGATGTGGGCCCTTTCTCTTTATCTCTTGCTTCTACAAATAGCTATTTCCTTTAGGGCTCTAGGCCAGAAAAGAAGGGTATCAGACAGCCCCCAGGCTCTAAGTTCAAGCCCTAGCACTAGCACATAATAAAAGGGGGGATTTCCCTAATACTGGTAACCATTTTTATTTATCATTACTTAGGTCAGATAGTTTTGAGAGATAGAAAAGCCTTTCTGTGAGATACTAAGAAATCAAAAGGAAATTTTTTAATTCCTGTAGGAATTTAAATTAACCCATAGAGTTGGAGAAATTATTATAGGCCTAAGAGGAAGCCAAGGCATGAGAGAGCCATGACTTCCAAGTTCAAGGTCATACAATAAATCTATAGCAGCAAGTATGCTGATCCTGTGCAGTCCAATACTCTTTCTGTTTTCCCATCCTACCTTCTATTTCTAAAGCTCTGAATTCCAAGGAACTGTTTAAAACCTACACTTACAGAACTTCCTACAAAAAGCCCTCTCTTAGGCCTTTAGGGCTACTGGAACAAAATGTGATCAACTTTAATTTTTATAAATTATATAACTTTATACACTGATTTGGAAATTTATAAACCATAGAAATTGTTTGAAATTTATTTCTCACAATTCTGGAGTTAGAAAGTTCAAGATCAAGTGCTGGAGAATTCTGTGGTTACTGAGGGCCTGTTTCCCAAGTCACAGACGGCGATCTCTCAGAGTCCTCCCCTCATGGAAAGTGGACAAGTTCTCACTCCCTCGATCTTCTTAAGGTCATTAATTATATTCACAAAGACTTCACTCTGAGGATCTAATCTCTACCCAAAGACCCCACCTCCTATTACCATCTCACTGGGGGGTTAATTATCAACATGGGAAATTTGGAAAGACACAACCTTCATACCATAATATGTCAAGTAATAGATCATCCCATCCGCTGTATTTCCACAAAGCATAGCTGGTCACAAGCTGGAGCTCCTCTTAGTTTCACTCTAGATGTGCTGCCATAAGAACTAGGGTTTGAGTTGAATCGCAGCACAGTTGCTGCTGAAGATGAATAGCTGCAGGGAATTGGCGTGAGCCCATTAATGGGAAGTTCACAGCTCAGTGAATAGCAGGACAGAGGCACAGATCAAATATTTATGGTTGGTATTCATTATGTACAATGCTTAACAGCTCTGTGTTTGTTTGATGGTCCTCATTGCTAAATAATGCATAGAACTCTGGTCAGAGCTGGAAGAGGAGGCCGGACAGAAAAGGGGCTCAGAGTCTGGCCACAGAATGGGGCCGATCTGAGGGTTCTACACTAGATTCTATTGACCACATATCCTGTCTGAAGTCAGAAGTTAACTAACTTCCTCCAGACCTTAGCCAACAACAGAAACAAAACCCCAATCACTTAGTGTGGTAACCCATGCATACTCACAACTGTATAAACTGACAAGACAACTTTAGTATCACCGTGACAGGTAAGCCTATGGAGGTCTTCACTCATATGGTCAGACGGGTACCTGGGACTGTTTCTGATGAGGTTTCCCATGCAGAAATTAACTTCCCAATAAAGGCTAGGTCTACTCCTGCCTCTCATATGCAGAAGTGATACTGCTTCTCCTGCAGGACGGTCTAAGGTTGGGAGACAAATCTATGATTGCACTAGGTTTTACTGGAAGAATGGACTATTGACATCTTCTAGGATGACACAGACCCCCAGTATCCACTGGGGGAATGAGTGGGAGCCCCTACCAGTTCTAAGAGGCAGAAAACCTGCTCATGATGCAGAGGACAGGGCTTTCTATACATCCTCTGACTATAGGGTATTATCTGTTCTTTACCCAAAGGAACTCCGAGCCACAGAACTTGATGCCTAGTCACTTCCTGTCCTAACTACAGGAATTAATCCTTCATGTCAGACTCTGAACACATAAATGATGATTCAGACTCTGTTCTGTCTTGTATGTGTTCCTTGAAACAAAGATCTGGATAAGACTTGTTTTGTTGTTGTTTTCATTTTTGGGATATTAGGGATTGAACTCAGGAACTAGTGCTCCACACTTGGGCCATACCTCAAGTTCTTTTGCTATTTTTTAGTTGGCTTTTCAGATAGGGTCTCATGCTAACTTTATCAAGGCTGACCTCAAACCACAATCCTCCTATCTCTGCCTCCTGAGTAGCTGGGTCCACAAACATGTTCCACTATACCTAGCTAAAGATTTGATATAATATATGTTCTGTGCCTACCTGTTTATTTCCTTAAGCACATCAGCATAGGCTTCAACTGAGGAAACTATTGAATGATGCAGTGATATTTGGGTTTCCCATTTATAGAGATCAAATATTTCAATAGACTACATTTCTCAAATACCAATAAGAAAAGTAGTAAATCCAAGTTTGTATTTAGTTTATCATTCATTCCTAGCTCATAACATAATTTAGTTTTTACTACCTTTGGTTTGGGTTAAATGTACAGGATATTGAATAGGTGTTTTCTGATTGAGTCTGCATGTTGTTGAGGTTTTTATACAATTAATGAATTGTCAGTAAATCCTTATATTTAAGAGTGTGCCCTAGGGAAAGCCACTTGTTCTGTGTGATGGATTTTCCAGTTGGGATTTTCAGTGGACATATCCACCAACAGAATTAATAAAAGCAAGAATAACTGGCAAAATGCCCAGGGAGCTAGTTGGGAAAGTGTTGCAAGATTGACCAAGTGTTAACTGGTATTACCTGGTAAGTGATCAGTGCTCAGTAGACTCTTACCTTTGTAAAGGTAAGGATGGAGAAGCAAATAAGAGCTTATAATAAGGTCTCCCTTGTCTTGTCCCTCCCCCCCCCCCCCCCGCTTTCTCTCTCTCTTTAGCTGGCCATGAAGCACAAATGTTGAGAAACTGCCTCCTGGTGACCCTCTTAGGAGAAACAGAAGCGTTTGTTCAGCAGTTTTTACAAGAATTCTGGACCTCCACTTGCTTCTTTTTTCCACATATGGACATAGACGATTTTTTTGGTTGTTGTTGTTTTTCATTTCAGATGTTAATATGAATGAACAAGTGTTGTGTTTATACATTTCACTAATAATCTTGCTACAATAGCATCAGGCTTCATTGGATTATTTTTTTTCCTCCATTGTGTGTCTGTGAGTGAATGTATCTTCCTTTTTAAGAGATTTTTCTTTTTGTAGCTTAAATATGAAATTTGGACCAAATGATAAACTAAGATGGGTCTAAACTGGCAACATGTGTTTTTTTCCTCTCTGATATAAGCAAGAAGATAGCTTCGTGTGGTGACATCAGATGTTATATTTACAGAACGAAAATAAAGGCCAAGCAGAGACTGGATTCCCTCATTCTCCCTAGTACTCTTAATTTGAAGAGTAGAATTTAAATTCTACTCTAAATTCTGAGACATAAGTCTGTATCGTGGAAAACACTAGGGTTTATCAGAGGAAATAGAAGTCTTAGAAGATTTTGCTCTTTGCATCTTAATGTTTTGCATGAAGCATCACCAGCATTCAAAGAAACAAATCAGAAACACAAATAGAAATCTACTTTCTGAGCTGCAGCTTAAATATGTCTGCTATTTCTTTCCAGGCTAATTACTTAGAATTATCATATGAAGGATAAAAATTTGAGAGTAAAGGCCTAAGGAAAAGCTTACTTTAAAAGTTTGTCTCTTCATGATGTTTTTCTCTTTTTTGTCATTGTCTCAAATTACAGAGGCTGAAAAGAACTTCAATTTTTGTCCAATTATCTAGGAACTGAAGGTATGACTCAAGTGGTAGATAACTAAGCCAAGTAAGCATGAGGCCCTGAGTTCAAGACCCAGTACTGGTACCAAAAGAAAAAAAAACATTAAAAAAAACAGATAAAAGGTCTCTGTAAATGCTAATGTGAAAAGATGCTACACTCAAAATCATTTTCATCTTTACAAGCCTCTACCCATCCTAGGGTACAGAAAAGGCCTTTAGTTTCTGGGTATCTGGTTTTTAGAGGTTTGGATGTTCTTGTTGTTATCTATTTATTTAATGTAATTTAACTTATATTTCTTGACAGATTGTGTATCATAGCAATTGTAACCTGCCTGGCCTGACCTAACACTTCAGCCACAAAGCCTTTACATTGGTGTCAAATTGAATAGAAATAGCCATATTTTTTGGTCACATTTTTCTTTTCTTTCTTCTTTTCTTGTGTGTATGTTGGGGGTGGGGGAGGAATTGAACTCTAGGCCTGGGTGCTACCTCTGAGCTTTTGTGCTCAAGGCTAGCACTCTACCATTTGAGACACAGTTCTAATTCTAACTTTTTTTTTTTTGCTATTTAATTGGAGATAAAAGTCTCAACAGACTTTCCTGCCAGGCTGGCTTCAAACTGCAATCTTCAGATCTCAGCCTCCTGAGTAATTAGGATTACAGACATGAGCAACTTACATCTGGCTAGTCATACAATATTCGAATGCATGAATCAGAGGCTGGAGTTTTTGTTTCCTAGAAGTTTAAAATGCTAAACATAGAAGTGAGGGTACAGCTCAAATGGTAGAGTGCCAGCCTTGAGCAGATAAGCATGTGAAACCCTGAGGACAAGCCCCAGAACTGGCACAAAAAAATATTAAACCTAAAATGATGTGCTTGCTGCTCATGAAACGAAGAGGCAAGCTACACATCCCAGAAGTGATGTCAGCCCTGACTGCCATGCATTGATTTCCAGGATGCTTCAGTGTTCAAGACTCCTTCCTGTTCTCTTTGTCCATTGAGCCAATTAGGTCTGTATTGTAGCCTCTTATATAGCAGTATAAGATGACTTGGGGATTATTAATTCTAATTTAAACAGCTTAAGTTCTTCTGATAATGTAGCCATTGGGAGGGAGATAGGTTATCAGAGGGAAAATAAAAATCACAGACAGTACATGTCAAAAGAGAGATAGGATTTGCTGGAGACAAATGTCTCAGTGTTCTTAAAGAGATGATCCAATTGAAGGAAACTATAAAAAAATATGAAGTGTAGATGTTTACCATAATATTTTATACTTTTCTTTTGGTGTCTTAACAATTTAGAGAAGCAATGACTAAACCATTTGGTGAGTACCATTAGAAGTGTATGTTTTCTTAAAAAACAAAACTCAAACAGGTATCGTTTCCAGACTTTAGTGAGAAACCACGCAGACACATATGCGCACCACATGCACAAGGACCTGTGTGTCCATCTTTCCAGATTGAATTCTGGTTTCAGAGGCCAATCGTTGGAATAAGTAATTGAAAGAGTAAGCCTAAAACCCCATGACAATCAGTTAAACTCAAGAATTGGTGGCAGGCTATGTAACAACCATGTTTGGGAAGCTGCATCTCAAGTATTGAACATGAGATTATAAGAAAACCATGAAACCCGAGACTGGCCCTCCTTGCAGAATTCTGAGAGTTACTGTTCATCAACGTAAGTAGTCCATAGCCTGTCCCTTCTTACTATTTCTCTTTCTAGACCTAAGACTTGTTGGAAATAGTTGGAATGAAAAGAAAGCCCATATGAAATTGTATTAATAGCTTCCTATTTTTTATTAGCTTTCAGGCATGGTAATGCCCTTGACCTCTGTCATGTCTGATTTGACTACTGCCCAACACATACTCCATGCCTCTTGCAGAAGCAAACCCAATGATACATAGAAAGTTCTTTGCTATTCTTTCATAGAAGGTGCTGAAATACAAAATATTCACACAATCTAAACTAGAAGAAACTGCTAAAAAAAAAAAAAAAAACATCATTTGGGACCAATTCATTGAGCTTATTAGAAGACATTTCATTTGTTCTATTTCTGCACTTCACTATGAGTTTTGGAGATAACTATATTTCTGTGAAAGACTTTTCAGATTGTATTGGCAACATATTAGGAAAAGAAATGTTCCAGTGTTACTCCTTCTTCCTGGATCATAGCTGTAGTGTTCTTCACTAGTGTTATTAGATATCTGTGTACAGGAAGGATGCAATCGTTATTCAGGTTACTATTTCATTTTAAAGAATGTATTTGTAAAATGTAACAAGATGAGTAGTTAACTTTTTTTAAGCTCTGAAAAAAAATGTAAAATTCTGTGTTAGACTTAAAATGATAGTGAAATCTGTCTAAATATTGTGGCTAGTAAAAGTTGTGCATTTATGTAAAACTCTTTACAGAATGCCCTACAAAAGGGATATTCGAGGTAGGTTTCCCTCTTTAATTTTCAGAATTGTAACGCCGCTAATGTCTGCTGTACAATTATTAATTCTTTAGAAGTGCTCTAAGATATCAAACATCATTTCTGTTTGAGTCAGAGACAAGTAACACTGCTTTGTTGACTCACTATTACAGCAAACTCTGATTTTGTCATTAAATATTTTAACTCTGTGGTGACAGTTGGTTTCTCTCAGTTATTTGTAGAACCTACAAAAACACTATCAAGCATGTACAACATTACATTTTTGCTACAAATGGAAAACGCTGCCTGCAGAAGATGTCTAGACCACAATGCACATGATGACAATGTTTTATTAAAACAGTGGAATGGAAAAATTAGATGTATGAAAGGCTAGAAAAATAACCGTGGTTTGCACAATGGGAATCTTTCCAGCAAGAATTACCTGTTTTCCCCTTTTTTGTTGTGTTAAATAACTAAGCTAAGGTTACTGATATGCTCGACTCAATAATTGTGATAGCTGTGTCCTTGTCCCCCACACCACTTTCATACTCTTAATTTGGAGAGAAGGTAGGACTGTCTTATGTCCATTTGTGTTACGGAAAAGCAAATGCTGCACCCTTGGCTACCATATTTGCCTTGGAGGGGAGTGGCTTGGGAGACTCCCTTGGTATAACAGCCAATTCCAGGTTGGCATGGATACTGAACTAAACAGACTTCCTGGGAGGTCTGTAAGGGAGAAGGAAAAGACTGTAGTCTGCACTCATCAGAGAAAAAAAAATGAGATAAGAGTTTGGCTAGATGAGGATCTTGACTTAATTGTGCTTTTGAAAGTAGCTGTTCAACAAGTGCCTTTACATCTGTAATCTTAGCTAGGAGAGGCAGAGATCCAGAAGATCATAGTTCAAGGCCAGCCTGGTTAAAAAGATTCCATGTCAACCAATAAAAGGTTTGGCATGATAGTGGACACATGTCATCCCAACTACATGGAAAGTGAAAATAGGAGGCTATGCAGGGCAAAAACATGAGACTCTATTTGGAAAATGACAGGCAAAGGCCATGCTTGGGCATGGCTCAAGTGGTAGAGCATCTAGTTAGCAAGCATAAGGCCTTGGATTTAATTTTTTAAAAACTAGTACTTTAAAATTTTTTTAAAAAAAAAACAGTTCCTGCTCTTGTGAACTACATTGTAAGCCAATTATCTCACAAAGATGATCATTTTCTTAATAAGGTTTTTTACTTGTTAACATAGCATTTTATCCCTATTATCAATGAGAACATGCTTGAGACAAATTATTGACATAAGTGTCTAAGCAGCTTAGGAAAAGAAATAGGAAAAAGAAGGATAAAAAGAAATAATAATATATTTCAGAATGAATTACAAATGGCTATATAGAATTTCTATCAATACTCACTCTGTGAGCCTCTCTCCCACCTTGCCTGGGTATAACAAACAAGCTTGCTTCGTGACACCTTCTTGCCCATATGAATATGGGTAGATGAGAGCTAGTACTTCCTAGCAATCAGTGAAACTGGAAAAGCCTTAGGGCCCCTATTCTAGCAAGAAAAAAAGACATAAGAGACATGGAAAAAGAATCCCACCAGGCAGTCCCACGTAATGTCCAAAGGTGAGCACCCTGACAGTCCCCATCAGTAAGATAACACAAAGGATAGATGTCCTTTTTGGAAATGAAGAAATTATATCTGCTGCCTTTCTGTAACTAACTATAAAAAGAAAGAAAGGTCGTTAGTTTTGGAAATTTCTGTCCATGACCGGACAGACTCATTGCTTTGAGGCCTCAGTGTGGAGATAGTACCACGGAGTGGAAGCTTCTCATCGTATCAAACTTTTCTCAGCTCATGGCCACAAAGTGGAAAATAGAGAAAAAGACTGAGATCCCACCAGCTCCTTCAAAGGCCACACCCCTTAGACACTGAAGATCTTCCACTATGCCCACCTTCCAAAGGTACCACTACCATGAGTGGGACCAAGCCTTTAAGAGAACATCCCAGAACCAAACCATAAGCACATGTAAAAGGGTTTTATATAGCCAAGTTGTCCTGGTGCAAAATTTATCTTCATTTATACCTTCACCTAACCTTTCTATTGTACCTTCATTTATACTTTCATGTCTTCCCATCATCCTTTAGCTCATCCTACCCAAACGGTTACCTACCAATAAAATATTGGCTTACAGTGACATCTTGGCTTCCTGTCCCAACCATTTGGAGAGTTCTGAGAAATGTCCACATTTGGACCAGACACCAGTGGTGTCTATAGGCCTAGCTCAGAGAATCATGGTTTGAGGCCAGCCTGGGCAAGAAATTCCATATGATTCCTATCCGCACTTACCCACCCAAAGGCAGAAGTAAAGGAGTTGCCCAAATGTTAGGGTGCCGTCCTTGAGAGAAAAAAAATCCAAGGGACAGTGCCCAGGCCCTGAAGAATGAGGGAGAAAGAGAAAACAAAGAAAGGGAGAAAAAAGAAAAAGAGAGAAAGAAAAGAGGGAAAGAAGGAAGGAAAGGAAAAGAACAAAAATAATGTCCACATCTGACTCCTAAATTTGCCTTTTGGATGTGCCTTGTCATCCTGCCTTTTACAAAAAGAAAAAAAAGAAGAGCAGGTCCACAGGTCCCAGATGGTGGGCCTGGCTTCCCCAGATGCTTACTAGATTTAAAACAGCAAATTAAAACTATCAAGGAAATTCACTCTAAAGAGCCATTTGAGCTCTTGTTACTGCCACAGGGCAACCTCTGCCCTAACTCCATCATGTTTTCTCCCTTGGGCCTCATCTAAAGCCTACAGATTTCTTGCATCATTTGTACTTCCCACTTCCCTCCCCTGCAGTTTCCACCACAAGCTCTTTCTGCTGAATCTTGGCTGCATCTTATAGGTCTTCAGAGAGGCTGCACTGGTGGCCCCTCCGGCTGGTTGCCTCCTGCAACCCACAAGACCTACAGAGAGGTCAGAGAGTGGTAGGCTTATCCTGATGGGTTTTATGATTCTGAGTTGCTTATATTGCTCTTGCGCTCATAT